TAGTTTCGAAACACTGCTTGCTGTAGCATTGCTACAGCATTGGCTGCTGGAATTTGTGTTTGGGTCTCACCTTAAGTTTTACACCCTTGCTTCTTTTATATATTCTGTTTTGGATCACCTTACAATCAATCAAAAGTCTTCAAAATCGCCATCTGAAATCATCTCTTTCATTGGACTCTAACAATCCCTGTGGACGATAATCCGGTACTTGTACCACTTTATTACTTGGAAAGACGACATTGGGTTGTATTGTATACTTTCTTTGTGGCCCAATTTCATTAGTCTAAAGGTGTGAAATATAACCCGACCAAAGGGTGTTATCAGATTTGGAAAGAAAGGAAAACTCAGTCCGAGGTATGTAGGGCCGTTCAGAATTTGTAAACGAATTGGGCCAGTAACATATCAGTTAGAACTGTCAGAAGAGCTGAGTCAGATTCACAACACTTTTCATGTGTCGAATCTACGAAAATGTTTGGCCGATCCAAATCTAGCTGTACCTTTGCCAGAGATTCAATTAGACAGTAGATTGAATTTTGTGGAAGCACCAGAAGCCGTAGTTGAGATTATTCTAAGTCTTAAACCGATCAAGTTTTGATTGAGGTGTTGACCGGACTTGTATCCGGATAAAGTTGGAATATATTTTTAGTGTTAAACCGGGCAAAGCTTTGGATAAGGTATTGACCGGATTTGTTATCCGGACAAACTTGGAATTATTTCTATGTATTAAACCGGACAAAGTTCAATCTGACCGGAGATGAAATCCGGTTAAGTTATTGTTGACCAAATTTGATGTAATATTGTGTTTTTAATGAGAAATATTATTTTATCATGAAAAGCAAAATTTTGAAAGAAATGTTCGGGTATTGATGATAATTTCAATGGCTGCGGTTTATTTGAAATTATTATGTAAAAACAATTTTGATGAGGAAATAAGGGTGGCATATCAAGGAGAGGTGTACCATGGGATAAAGGTGGCATATCAAGGAGAGGTGTACCATGGGATAAGGGTGGCATATCAAGGAGAGGTGTACCTTTGGATATAAGGGTGGCATTTATATGTGTGTTATATGATATAACTCATTCTATTATATCCTTTAAGATTACCGTGGTCCGAAGTCTTTATTTTTTTTTGTGACTTAAAGAATTAGGATCAAGGTTTTTATTAGAAATCATAGTTTGGATGTTATTGAAGAGAAAATGTCAGATTTGGCCTGAAGCTTTGAAATAACCTTGTT